GTCCCTGTTCTGCACTCTGGGTTCGCTGCTAACCACAAATCCTAACAAAGCTGTGTTTATTAATAATAATAATAATAATAATACATTTTATTTAAAGGCGCTTTCAAAACACTCAAGGTCACCGAACAAGAAATATAAAGATAAAAACAATAAAATACAGAAATCAATAAAATCAAATGCTAATAATCATAAACTATATAATGACATTAAACAGAATAAGCAAGTTTGAAAAGTGAGTTTTAAGGTTAGATTTAAATGAGAGCAGAGAATCAGAATTACGGATGTGCTGTGGAAGAGAGTTCCAGAGACGAGGGGCTTTGCGGGAGAAGGCTCTGGATCCCATGGTTGTCATGCAGACAGGAGGTATTACGAGATAGATAAGGAGGAGCGAAGACTTCGAGCAGGTGTGTAATAGCAAAGAAGATCAGTCAGGTACGGAGGTGCCAAGTTATGGAGAGCTTTGAAAGTGAGGAGGAGAATCTTGAAGTCGATGCAATATTTTATGGGTAACCAGTGAAGATATTTAAGGATAGTGGTGATGTGTTCCTTCGACGTAGTTCTAGTGATGATCCGGGCAGCTGTGTTTTGAACAAGCTGAAGTTTATGGATGATTTTGAGAGGAAGATCTGAGAGGAGGGAGTTACAGTAGTCTAATCAAAAGGTGACTAGAGCATTGATAAGGATAGCTGTGCTGGTGGGGGTCAGAGATGAACGGAGACGGTTGATGTTTCGAAGATAAAAATATGCAGACAGTAATGTTATTGACATGAGATTCAAAAGATAATGTGCTATCAAGGATGATACCCAGACTCTTAGCTGTAGGGGAGGGAGAAACTGTGGAATCATCAACTTAATTATGAACCTATTCCATTTTGATAGGGTAGACTTGACGCCAACAAGGAGGAATTCTGTTTTATTTGAGTTCAGTTTAAGAAAGTTCTGATTAAACCATAATTTGATTTCACAGAGGCAGTCTGAAAGGAAGGATGGTGGAAGGGTGGTGTTGGGCTTAGTGGAGAAGTACAACTGGGTGTCATCTGCATAGCAGTGAAATTTAATAGCATTTTTTTTTAAAGGTAAGGCCAAGTGGAAGATGATAAATGATAAACAGGAGAGGACCAAGAACAGAACCCTGCGGTACACCTTAAGTAACTGTGGAGGACTGTGACTTGAAGTTCTTAAGTTAGACAAAGTGCTGATGGTCAGAGAGATAAGATTGAAACCAATTTATAGCAATGCCAGAAAAACCAATGGAATGTAATCTATCGAGAAGAATGTTGTGCAAAATGGTATCAAATGCTGCACTCAGGTCAAGGTGAATGAGAAGTGACAAAAGTCCATAGTCTGCAGCAACCAGGAGATCATTGGTGATTTTAATCAAAGCTGTTTCGGTGCTGTGGAGGGGGCAGAAACCTGACTGAAGTTCTTCAAACTGTCACGAATTGGGGTGGATCGGACAAGCACAGACTCAGAAAAAGTTTTTTTTAAATGTTTAAAAGTTTATTTTTAAAACCGGTGGCATCTGGCAGGAGGTTCTGGTTCTGGTACCGGACTGCTCTGGGGGAGACAGACAGATTAGTGGCTGTAAGCAGACTAGACTGAACAGAGTAAACAAGAATAAAGCCACTAACCTTCTGCCTCTGGAACCAGTCTGAGATGTGGGCCAGGTGGGTCCCGGTCCGAATCTCAGGAGCCGGTAACATGCGCAAGGGCGCACGGAGCAGCTGCGTGCAGCGTGAGCACGAACAGGTCATGAGGCTGGATGGGCGAGCTGTGATGCTGAGGGGTTTGGGCAGCAGAACTTTATCCAGGGACAGGCAAGGGTCAAAACCAGAGAAGAATCCAGTCCGGGGGGCAAAAGCAAGAGTGAAAGGTCGTGGGCAAAGCTATGGTTGAGAACTATAAGAAGAGGGAACGCTGGATATCTATGGAAATAATCTATAATTATCTGGCACCGACTGAGGAGAAACAGGGAGCTTAAATAGTGAACTGAACAGGTGTTGCTCGTGAACGTAGATTGCGGTAGATGGTGGAGGGGGCGTGGCACAGGTTGACAGGAGCTGAATGAATGAGAGGGGAACTCAAAACTAAAGCAGGAAAAAACGTGAATGATCTAAAAACAGGGGCTGGGTATGAGGAGCAGAGGCTTAAACCGATGGGGGGGCAGCAGGGGCCGCTGAGCGTGACACAAACAGATTATTATCAGAAATATTACTGTGAACCTGGGCTGCAACTGTTTTTTCAAGTATTTTGGAAATAAAGGGTAGGTAAGAGCACAAACAAATGTTTCCCTTTATTTCCTTTCATGTCATCGTAGTACTTTATAGTTTTCACTGCTGCAGTCAGTCATTTTGGTAGTGTTTTGGAGTTCTTATTATTCTAAACATTTATAGTTAACTCATTCCTGAGTGCAAAATCTGTTCCTGTTCCTAAAAGCCTAATGGATTTTGCTGATGTTTTCAAATTCCATGTTGTAGTTGCACTCCTACTCTGCTATAGATTTTTTTTGTTGTTGTTAAAAATAATTTAAAGTTAAGTAAGTTCAAATTAAATAAAATTTTATTTAAAGTTTATATATATATTTATAGTAATGTGTTATAAGTTGTCATCATTGTATGTTTCCATACAATAGCAAAATTGTCTCTCTGTGTTTAACCCATCCACCACCGGGTGGAGCAATGGACGGATATTGAAGGCTCCTGGGGAGCAATTTGGGGATGGGGTGTCTTGCTCAGAGACACCACGAGATGTGCAATGATTGGGGATTGAACCTGGGACTTTCGGGTCTTGAGTCGGCTGCCCTGCCTCTACTCCATCTCCGCCCCATACATTTGCAATTATAGTTTAGTCTCAATTCAGAAACATTAAAGCCAAAAAAAAAAAACACAAACTCTGCGCAATATCTATCCATCCACTAATTTGAGATGAGACGGCAGAGGCTAAAAGTCCAGGATGAGACTCGGACATCTTTCTTCCAGCTGCACACTCCAGCTCCTGCTGGGAAATTGCAAAGTGATTTAGGCCAGAAGGGTTCATGATCCCTTTAACTAGGTGAGCCCTGGGATCTACTCCCAGTAGAGCGTGCCCATATAACCTTCAGAGGGAGGTGCAGGAGGTCTTTATAGTCAGATGCTCAAATCACCTCCGCTGACTGATTTTGATGAAGAGAAGCAGTGGCTCTACACCAAGCTCCCATGATAAAGTCCCTCTCAACAATTCTATGTTGGGACCCAGCCGTCTATAAAGGAAGCTCATTTCAACCACTTGAATCTAGGATCTTGTTCTTTCGGTCATGGTCCATACTGTATCTCAAGATCATAGGTGAGAGGTGAAACATAGCCAGACATGTAAATTGAGTGTTTTATCTTTTGGCTCAGCTTTACAACAGACTGGAACATTTCATTTATGACTACAGATCAAGCCACCACTCATCCCTGACTCTATCCTGTACTTACGTGGGAACAAAGACACTTGGATATGTGAACTCATCTGCTTGAGGCAGAAACTCACCCATAAAATGAAAATGCATTCAGTATTTTCATATGACAGCCATGATCTTGGAGCTGGACACCAATATTTCTTTTTACTGTCTAACATGCGCTGGTGAAGATTCTCAGTCATCCAGGACATGGTAAATTCAAAAAAGTTCAAGACAAAAACAACTGGACTTTATTTGTAACGGAAGACATTTTGCTTCTCATTCGAGGAGTTTTCTCAATTCAAAGAACAGAGAGTGTGGGGTTCGAATTATAAAGCTGAGGTAAGCTAAATACATATGTAGATTGCCCTATCACTACTCACAATAGGGATTCGTGAGGATCTTTGTTAGTCTGAGAGGAGCCACTCTGGTGACATGGATGAAATTCCTGATAGGTGTGAAAATGACTGGGTATCAGGCCTAAAGCTGCATTATAAGTTTTTGAAAATTCAAATCCGAGACCTTCTCCTCTGTTTAAAGATGGTTTCTCTTGTTTTGCATAAATTGCAGTATAGTTGTATTTGTACCTGTATTTTCACTGTCTAACATGTTACACAGCTTTGACAAACAGGGCTGAGACAATAGATTTTAACTGGGTAATTTTCATGTGTTTCTTTGCTCAACAGATCTGGTTTTATACAAATGACATCTTTGAGAATGCAGGCATCCCAGCTCCAGAGATCCAGTATACCACAGCAGGAACAGGAGTGATAGAGATCATTGCTGGACTAATTGGGGTAAACATACAATGAGAGGTTTGCTATGAAGCTTGCAGTTATCGTGCATCTTAAAGATCTTTTAGAATAGATTGTTGAGTCAAAAACTGCAACTGAACATACAAGAATTACTTAGTGAGCATAAGTTTTTAAAAATATACAAAAAACAAAACAGCTCCAGATTGGAATTACCGTAATTTCCAGACTATTGAGTGCACCTGAATATAAACCACACCCACTAAATTTAAAAAGAAAAGAACATTTTTATATATATATAGGCCACACTTGTGTATAAGCCATGGATTGGTGTTCACATTGTAACATGAGATATTTACACAGAAAGATATATATTTTTAAATTAAATATGTACCGGTAACACACACAAATACATATAGCAAATGAATTTTTCTGAACAGTGCCGGTAACACGACTGATAAAAATAAATAAATACAGTAGCCTGCAGGGAGAAGTCGTTGATCTTCATTCCTCCTGTGCACTAAAACCACTAGTCGTCTTCTTTAGTGTCAGAATTGAACAGCGTCAGAAAAACTTCATCACACATCCTCAGTCTCTTTCATTGTTGCTCTCAACGTCACTTACGTCGCGAGGCAAATTCACAATTTGATTTGATTTATGATTCACACTTATTTTGAGTGGCTGCAAATACTTTGTTGTGTACATCAAGAAGGGAAACTCCTGCAGGGATGGGAGGAGAAAGCGGGGAGGGAGGGAAATGAAGTCCACCCCCCGCCCCACTCCCCACAGTGGACCAATGAAACCGTTTCATTGGTCCACTGAACTGTTGGGTAATTTCATTGGCAAGTTGTTTTTAAACCTTTATTTATACAGGTGACAATGTTGCCAGATTGGGTGGTTTTCATTATGTTTTTGCTGGTAAAAATTGCTTTGGGTGGGTGCGGATAATAGTATCTACCTAATAAAGTACCGTTCAACAAAGTGTTTTATGTTAATGCCTATCATTCACACACACTAACACATCTGGAAAACAAACAGGCACCAAAGACAACATTTGTAACTTTTAAAGCGATTATTAAAAATGTTTACTCCTTAAATATTTAGCTTAAAGGTAAGCACTAAACCAATATACGTCTTCTTTTCAGTGTTTACAAATGTGTGTAACACTTACTATGGTGATGAATATAGAAATATTCATAATGAACATTTAATCTGGGTCTATAACAACCAGATCCTGAAATGTGACGTGTTGATTTTGTGAATAAAGAAAACGACCGTTCACATTTGACTGAATTTGTTTAATCGATGAACATATAAACACCAATTTATTTTTGCAGGGAGTGGGGAGTATTGTGTGTGTGCGTGCGTGCGTGGGTGCGTGTGTGTGTGTGTGTGTGTGTGTGTGTGTGTGTGTGTGTGTGTGTGTGTGTGTGTGTATATATATATATATA